TAGATAGATAGATAGATAGATAGATAGATAGAGAGAGAGAGAGAGAGCGAGAGAGAGAGAGAGAGAGAGAGAGAGAGAAATAGAGAGAAGCACTCCTGTACAATTGCGGTCTCGTTTGCACTAAGTCACAATAAGTGCGCCTGTAGTAATTTTTACGTCTTTCTTATTTAGATCTAAACTGTATCAAAATTATATCTAAATCTAGACCTATATATCTAGAATCTAGATCTAGATATCTAGATGGATCATCTTGGCTATCGAGAATTTAGAGTCAAGAGATCTCAAGATCTAGATTCACTTCCACAATGGCCGTCATGTAAACAAACGTGACCACAACTGTACAGGAGTGCCAGAGAGAGAGAGAGAGAGAGAGAGAGAGAGAGAGAGAGAGAGAGAGAGAGTAATGGCCGACGATGCAAAGAATGCTCATGATACGCTTCTACTTCTATCATGCAGCAAGCAAAAGAGGAGAGCACGAAAGTTATTTCCCACTGACAATCTAAATACTACAGAGAGAAAAAGTAAAATTAAAGCATGATTAGACCAGTGCCTGCCACGACCTAGGCTATGTTGTCCATTGGAAGGCGATTTGGTATTTTTGGTGAGCGGTGGGGGTCGGCTCGGGAGTGATAGGTGTTATTAAAATTAATGTCACCCTTTTTATCGTTGTAAGCGTTTTAACTCCCATTTTACCCCCCCCCCCCCCAACCTCCCTTTTCTTCCATTTTTTTTTTTTGGTAAGTGTTTCACGGCGCCCGCAACTGCATGAGGCCACAAGAGCACGCGGGACACATTAAATATATAGCCCCTTTAAGGTGGCATGAGGGCGCTGGCTATCAATGGTGTTGACAAGCACTGGATATGCGTAAATCATGAGTAGATGACGCAAAGCATTAAAGTTTTGTTTGTTTAAGTATTAAAAACGTATACAAATTGAAGGATAAGAAAGGCAGGCAAAAATAATACCATAATAGACAGCAGAGAGATGATAAAAAACGAAGGATATTGCAAAGTGACATCTTCCAACCACCCCTTCAAACTAGGGTGCGGTCCACTTTTTAAAATACCGCTGTTTGACTTAAGATTAAGACCGCACATCACATCGGGTGAGGGTTCAACTTTTCGACTTTTTTTTCTTCTTAGAAAATAGCTGTATTATAGTATGTAGCCTACAGTAGACCATCCGAGAAGCTAGTTACAATTACTACAACCCTTCCTTCTGGCCAGGGTCAATCAGGGCAACACATGAGACCACCCCCACCCCCCGCAAACCAGAAGAATGATGCATAAACTATCTTCTCTAAAGTGAGAATCGAACTCAAGCCTTTTGCAAATGAAGCAAAACGCGTGACCATTTAATCACAGACGCTGGGGCAACGTACTAAATGAGGAGATTTTTTCCTTCAGCTGGGCGCTAACCAATGTCAAGTGTGAGTATAAGAACTGAGCAAAACGTAGTGTTTCTGTTCAGTTGTCATTCGTGTTCATTTTTCCTTCCTCTGGTATCCTTAAGATGTCGAAGGGTGGTGAAGGTTTGGCCCTGTGCTAAGTATGCGGCTTCTGTGATAGTTGGCATGTTGTTCCAGGACCTTTAGACCCCACCAGCCCTCGCCAAAAACATTTTCCATGATGCCTGTGTATACAAACAGGGTGTCCCTAGGTCACTCACCATCCTGGTTTTCATTAAAAAAATAGCTTGGTTGATTATAATATTATTATTCATCATCGTCATCATCAAAACTTTTCTCTCCCTGCATCAGGGTGTGCTCCACGAACAAACACTTTCCACCTTTCCCTATCCCAGGCTAGCCTCTTGATAAATGTTATTCCATGTTTTCCCACTTTTCTGTAGCCTACATTATTCTCTGTGACTCTTTTTCAAGTTCAACGTGGCCTTCCCCTTGATCTATTACCCTGTGAATTTCAATCTAACACTTCCTTGTTATTCAGTTCCCTGACTTCCTGAGAGTGTGTCCAATCCATCACTCCAATCTTCCTCCCACTTCATCTTTAACTCAACTGGGCTCTGTCTACGCTCTCCCTAACACTTCCTCGTTGGTGACTCTCTCTGTCCGTGTTCATCTGATCCTCAGTAACTTTCTCAGACACTTTTTAAGAAAACCTGGCTCCTCTTTGTGCACGTTTGAGATGCGTTCCATGTCCCACATCTATACATGTAGGCCTACAACGAGATTGTGATTGTTATTAGTCTGTAATAAATGCTTGAATTGAGCTCACTCAGCCCCCCCCCCCCCCCACGGCAGTGCTACTGACTGAAGTTGTCTTTAGGCCATTGCCAAAGGGGGGATATTAACATGCTCTTATGCACAGTAGAATTGTAAATGGGCTGAATTATCACTGTCAAACCCCAAACTGCACCGAAACAAAATAGGGGGAACTGCTGCTTTTTCCTTACTCATCCTTACTATCGTCATTTTTTCTCTACTTCTTTTGTTTGTTTGTCACTCTCCTGTGAACTGCTATTTCTGTGGTGCCTGATAGTCGAAGCAGACTTTGTGCTAGACAGGTGCACGGGGTAAACCTGATTCCCGTTTGGACATCTCTGTTGACATCCACCCCTCCTTGGTGCTCATATGACTTTTGCAGTTGCGAGCGCCGTAAAACCTTATTAAAACAACAAGTTTACTCAGCAATAAAACAAGGATCAATTCTCTCAACAAAGCTGTCTTTTACATGCTTGAGAGTTTCTATTGTGGTCTTTGAGCGCTCCACAGTTAGTGCTTCCTTCAACTCCTCAATTAGGTGGAGAAAATTTTCCGAATGGTGCACAGCTTTTGGGACACAAAGTAAATAGCTAAATAGAGTTACTGTACCCAAAAGTAACTTTGTGCATAAGGAACCCAATTATTATAAAATATTTCGGGAGTTCTTTCAAAAATGCATAAATGAGAAAAAGACCTGATTTGAAAAGGTTCCCTTAAAGTAAATATGGCGCTCATATGACCTTATGCAGTTGCAAGTGCCGTAAAACCTCTATTAAAACTAAAAAAGTAAATAAAAACCTCATGCAGAAATAGTATCCATGAAATAGGAAAGTTAATAGGTTAGCGTCAGCACGTCAGTGTACATGTGTAAAGCCAGAAAAGCCACTTCACTATTTAAGCTCACTCTAATCTGTCACCAAGACTCATAAAAACATGACATTTCCAGTGATCTCACAAACCACACACAAGAAAATGACAAGATTGTAGCCATGCACACATTCCAAGAGACAGGCACATTCCACAAAAAGAAGGCAAAAGTCTTTTCTGTGTTGTTGCATAGTATATATTATTAATTACTGAATTGTAGCACCATAGAACTTTGGTTTTTTATTGCGTTCGCAGTGACGACTTCTTGAAAATTTACAGAAAAGGTATTTGATATAGGTACGTAACACTGGACATATACCTTTCTCCAACTTTTTAACAAGAGAATTTTATGAACCAAAAACTGTACCAAGTTCACAGATAAACTGTTCTAAAAAGTATCACCAGATCATTTGTTTGTTTTGCTACCTTCATTATCTAAATGTGGAGAAACTGAAGTGAAAAAGGGGCCAATATCACCAGTATTTTATAGACTATTATTGAACAAAAAGCGCAGTCTACATCAGGACCTTGTTGGGACTAACCCTACAGGGCACACTAAGTTCATTTCACCTTACGACAAATATGCTTCTGATAATTGCTACATTAAAAATTTTTACAAAAGAATAGAAAACATATTGTGGAACGGGTAACGTAAGCAATACAGTCATGAAAACACTGCACCCCAGGCAGACCAGTTTTACTCCACAACTCTGCCATAATAAGATACAGAAGCAGGCCTAGTGTGCTTGGAAATGAATAGAATGCTTATGAATACCTTGCACAGGAAAAACAAGAAACAATGTATTTAACTTTCAAATGATTCTTGCTAATGATTACATGCCATTTTGAACCGATGATTTCTTTTTTAGTCAAGACTTTTAGAAAAAGTGTAGTAACTTGAGTGTCAAGCGAAGGCACCATTAACTGATGGGTACTGCTACAACATATAGTGAAGCAACGTAAGTATAACTGGCCTAAGCTATTTTTCAACAAACCAGAGACCGTTATTGAATTAAATTTAGATGCTTGTATAAAATTAAACAACAAAAAGAATTGTTCAGTTAAACTAACCTAAAAAGTTCCGTGATCCGCTCTAAGCAAACACATCATTCTCCTCCTCTGGTATAGCTTTACGATGGCTAGACAAACTACCATGGGGGTGGAGGGAACAAGAAAGTGATTGCTGAAGGGACAAGGGTTTGGGTAGAGCATAATTTGTACATGAAAGTGTGACAGGCTGCTTTCTGAGGATGTTGGTGATAGTATAAATATTATTCAATCATTAATTGCCTTACCATATAGCTCTCATTTCGTACATATCTCCTTCAATGCAGAAATCATGACAAAGCAGAACAAAACGAGATAAAACATTCGTATAATAAAACAGCCAACAGAACAAACTACAATACTAAAGCCAAAACAAGGACAGAGAAAATAATAATATGAACATTAATGAAATGAAATATGAAGCAGTCACAATGATAAATTCGGTCAGTAAGTGGATGAATACAAGTTAGAATAGGCTAACAAACCAAAGCAAAATCATTAGGTACTACACCAAGTTGATTGCAAAAATGCACAAAGAACTGCACATGCCTCGAGTTTGTTTCCCCCAAAATGAACAGAACTCAGAAAATGTTTCTTTTTTTGTGTGTTTTCTACAAATTTAAACTCCGAGAGGTACGGGTAAGTGGGGCGGGAACTTTAACAGAAAAAACTTCAAACGCCAATCAAGAAGAGCCTATTGTATTATGGAAAAATTAAAAATTATTTGCTGGCTTTTCACTAAAAGTAGCTCAACGTTAAGTCCAATTTAATTTAAACTTTTACTTGAGGAGGGGGGTTGGTGAACACTTTTCGTACTCTGTGTAGATAGATATCACATGGTGGCCCTAAAGCAACTAATACAAACAAATAGCTTTGTACAAGATACATAGACATCTCCCACTGAATAAAACAGAGAAAGAAATGTCATTTACAGCAAGCACTTGAGGATTTTTCTTGCAATATTCACCAGGTCTCATTGTTTATAAATTGATAAAAGAAGTAACCTCATAGCAAAGCAATCACAATATATACTAAGGGACAAAGTCTTCTTTTTGTGAAGAAAAGGAAAAAAAAAAGTGATGAAATAAATAGTAAAAAAAATAAAATAAATAACCAAACAAATTATTAAAATCATGTAACTTTAATAAGAGCTTCACAAGACTTCAATTACACCATACTAGTCATCTGAGAGAGTAAAAGTGCAAAGCAATAGGCAGATCTGTCAATGATGTATACGTATACTAATTACGAGTATAGAATGAAGCAGTGTCCAGACCTTTGGATGACATACGAGTATACGAGAGTAGATCTGAACTTGTGTGGCAGTCTCACCATTATGCTGTATGTGAAGCACGAGGGATGTCACTCGGGAAAAATACGAGTCTGATGGCTATTTCTAGTGGCACTGCTCAACACAAGCACACCACCGTAGATTAACGCAACAGCTCCAAAATCTCATTATAAATAGTGGTAGTCATGACTGCTGGTGATAGAGTCAAGTGAAAAATGGTGTCCGTTCTTGAAGAAATTTGAAGCTCTCGGCACCAGCTTCTGTTTCCCCAATTAGAAAAATTAATGTTACAGAAAAAGCATGCATATAGTTTGACATATTTTTAAAAAAGGGAGAAGAAAATAGCTTCTGACAACGAATTGTTTGTGAACTTCAAATGATGTATCATGTGGGGGGCTGGATACACTCTTTTGGGGAGTTATTTTACTGAACATAGAATCTAGGCCATAAATATTCAAAAAGAAAAGCAATAACAAATCCTTTCTGAAAAAGAGTTGTATTGAAATGATGAGTTTCAATATGACTTCATGAGTTGAAGATTTGCACCATCTTTAATGAGAATTGTTCATGGCATGTCAATGGATGTTTTAACATCAAAAGAACAAAAATGTTATGTGCACTCACTAAATAAAAAGCAACACAAATTTAATGTGGTTCTGTGGGAGAATTCCTCTCTTGTTTTATGAACCACAGCATTTGAGGAAAAAAATTTATTTACCACCCTAAAGCCCGGAAAAGGGACTGAACACAATAAAGATATCCAAACAATAAATTTCTAGAAAAAAATGTAACACTCAATATCCTATTTACCTTACTGTAGTTTTGAGCTCAGTCTCATTTAGACATGTCAGTTTTATGTACAAAAATGTACATTCAGCGTGAGTGCACATGCACCGAAACAGTTTGTGCACTGTGCCAGAACAGAACTACACTGCAGGAAATATTTCTCTGATCTTTTTTCTAACATGATTAATTTACACATTTTTCCTCGTAGATCTTATTCACCCAGAAGCAAACTTTAAAATAAAGATAGCAATACTCGAGAGAACAAATCATTGAAATTTTACATGAACAGCCTACACTGGTAGCGCAAAGCAAAATGTGGTAAAAGCTTTGGGGATTTTCTCTTCTTGTTACCAAGAGCTGTGAAGACTTGGTGTGTCCTGTGTCTCACAAAACTATCGTGCTAGCCAAACAGTTGCTCTGATCTGTCAGTCTGTTCTGGCACATGACACAAGCGAGTTAGTGTAAAAAAAACAAAAAAACCCATAACAATACAACCCCCTCCTTCCCTCTCCAAAAAAATAACCCAAACAAAAAAAATACAAAACACACACTTAAACTAGAACAGAACAAAAAACAAAAAAACCCATTTAAAAACAGACAATGCTGAGTGACCGGGACAAGCGAAATAAAAGGGCTGGTCTGTAGACCTGCTTCTGGAGGCAACTCCAAAGTGTCAAAGACATAGTCCTTATTCCTAAGACAGCAAATAAATTTCAGTCTAGCCTCCAGAAAATTCTTGCAACACATTCTTGTTTTGAACTCATTACAGTAAAAAAACAGGCCCAAAAGGGGAAAATAATCAAAGACTTCAAGCAAATTTTTTTTCAATGAGTTTTTGTTTTTAGTGAAGTAACTATGCAGAAAATTGAACTCGTCAAGAAATAATCTAGCTGCACTGCTTTAATGAAGGTTTGATCTAGGGAATGATGTATTGTTTGTTCCGGTCACGAACGAGAAATAGATGTCAAATCCTGCATGAAGCTGTAGCATAAATGTACACATGAAATCTGTGTAAGAAGCATCACACAATGTGAATGTTCCCTATAGAAATGGGACTCTGCCCTCCTTGTACAGAATGAGATGAAAGAACCCTTTTCACACATTGCAATGCCACTTTCGGATCATTCTTCTCCACCAGGCTCCTATAGACACGTATACAGTATGATGATTGTACACAAAGCAATGTACACAGGGTTCAAGTTTCAGATCACCTCACACTGACTGGCTTTCCTTTCACATGGAAACAACAGCTTCAAAAGTGCATCAATTTCATTTTTCAGTTTGATACATTGATAGTCAGAAGTTGCAGCTGTTCCTTTCCAATTCTCAGACATTCTCACATTCAAATCAGTCATCATTTTTCATCTGCACTTTTGCACATGCCCAACTACTACGTTCTTGGTGTGTTGCACTTTCGAAAAAAGCGTACATCAGACCTCACAGAACCGTCATGACGAGAACATTTTCTATTGACAAGTCTCTGTCATAATGCTCCTCCTCCTAAAAACTGGAACAAGTCTGTGGTAGTACGTATGTCTACATATGACTATGCTATTAATAACTAATAATTAAGTAACCCTTAGCTATTTCTCTAGGAGAGATCATCTTCCTCGTAATATATAAAACATACTTAACATTGATATAAACTCAAAAGCTTGATTTTAGTTTTTCATTTTAATTGTTGGGACTTGGGCATTCTTCCGTTTACAAAACAAAAGTACCCTACGGATGGGCCCTCGCTCAGAGGAAAGTATATGTGTCAGCAGTCATACTGCACAATAGCATATATGTTCTATACATAAGGCACTTGAATATTGTTGACTTTTGAGACTTCTTAACATAAACCATTAAAAAAATAAAAACACATTTAGATTAGTACAACTGAAAAGTCAGGATTATGATGTCCATGCAAGAAGCACTTTCATTGGTTCATCCCGCGATTCCCTTTCACTCTTCCTCTGAATAACATTCTCTCACAGACCTTGCATATGAAAAAAACTGATGTTCTAAATTACCATCACCTTTCTGTTTGTTTTGTTTATTGTTGTAAAAATTAAATGAAACATCAGATAAAAAACAGATTCAAAGAATTTCAAATTGTACTCTACGGCTCACTAATGGAGTACAGCTCAAGATAAAATAGATAATACTTAATGCTGACGACTATAGTATGAGAAGCTCATCTAGAGGACAAATGTACAAGAGATTACACAAACTGTAAAAATGCCAACCAGCATGCTGGCCTTCCACATCTCCTCTCCTTCAACAACACACAAGTGAAAGGCAAAGCAACTACATTTCCTTTCATTCTCTCCATTCAGCACTGCAAGGTTCTTGTTTCTCATCTACATTGAAATCTCAGTGGCCCCAGCTTAGAAGTTCCGCCGGGCTGTGTTCTCTATACACAACACGATGAACGCATTGTTACACGTGTACTCTTCCTGGTCCAGCAGCATGTGCTTGATCAGGGAGCTGGCACGGCCCATGTTGGTGGTGGAGCGAGAATGCCACTTGTCGCAGAACTTGCCGGCACTGAACTCTCCCCTCTGAGTAGATCCGTGCCAGATGTACTTTTGTGGCCTGAAAGTAGACGGTGAGCAGAAGGTGTCAAACTTCATAAGTAGAAGAGAGGGACCACATTAACAAGAAAAAAAATGAAGTACAATAAATGATCACATTACCCCCAAAAATAAAATTTAACACAATAAATGATCACATTAAGCAGAAAAAAAAATTAAGCACATTAAGCAACGCCATATTCCCATTGCTTGAATAGTTAGTAAGTACAGTGAAATCCACTTACATAGAAAACGGTTCATCTGAAAACAACGATAGACCCAAAGATAACAAAATCCTCTTTTTTTTCTTCTATTTTAGCAGCTTCTCTAAGAAGAAAACCCAGCTAAACTTAACAATATCTGGCAGTCCCGTGGACTTATTGTTTAAGCAGACTCCTCTGTCTGTGGAAACTTTGCTCACAGAATTATTCTAGGCAGACTTACCTTTTTGTATGTACTCACTTGAATACTTGTTTGATTTTAAACAATATGATTGAGTTTAATGCTGACTTAGGTAATAATTCAGCCTCTTATGTTTTCTCAAGAGGTCCAAACTGTGACACCTTTTAATGTCCTCGGGTTCATTGAAAGAGAATTTATGAGCATGGGCATCAGGTCATACTTAAGTGCAAACCTGCTTTCTGTTAGATCTAGCTAAAAGTTATGGTTTCTGCTTTGGGTCAACATTTTACATGCATAAATGATGCTGTATAAACTTATCAATTGTAGGAAAACATAAATAAACTTAAAAGCGTATTATATTTACTATCAGTTAAAGCTCAGTACCAATCAGAACCTCCCCTCCCTCAAAACAAATTTTTTTAAAAATTAAAAAATTTGCAAGGTAATGTACAACAAAAATAATAATTACTGAGCTACATGAAACTTTAAGAACCAAATTGCAAACTTACAGTACTTTCTTTTTTGCAAGTGGATTTGATTATCAAGATAGCCTACTTGATAAAAATTCCCCAATCCTCATTCAAACATCACAATCTCCCACTCCATGTTCTTAATCGTTAAAGGTCTTTTATCTCAGCACTGTAGCCAATATATTATATATCTATATATTGGCATTTTCTTTCATCAAATAAAGAAAAATTTGCACACATGGAAACTGTTCAATTTGTAATCACAAGAAGCTGTAAGTGCTAAGAAAAAAGACCACTGCCTTATATTCCAATTCCACTGGTCCATATGGTTGCCCCAAAAACCAAAGGAAAAAAAAATATAGAATGCAGACCAAAGTGGGCAAACAAACCTGATAATACTTATAAATCAGGACAAAGCAGGTCAGAATAAGGGGAGAGAAAAGAAACAAGAGCTGGAGGATAAAAACAAAAGACATGCTCCGAGCAAATTTCTTGGTTGGCTACTTACCACTGTCCATCGACCATAACATCTTTGCCTTCAAATGAGTAGATGGGGACCTGGGTGTTGAACTTAGCACCACCTCCATCAATCATTATCTCCCAGGAATTGAACAGAATTTGATTCTGAAGAAAGTGGAAAAACCATCAACATATTAAATAAATATCAAGATAAAATGTGTGTGTGTGGGTTGGGGGGGGGGGGGGGGGGGGGGGGGGGAGATACAAGAAGAACACAAGAAATGAAAATAATACCCTAGAAGAAAATTTAAAGAAAAAATTGTCTTTTAAAAGCCACCAAAAGCAGCCTCATGATGCTATGGAATAACCTTAGCTTATCAAAGTACTGTATGCATAGATCAATGCTTCCCAGAAATAGGAAAATTGTCCATGTAATAGCTTTTATACAGCATACCTAACAAAACAATTTGCAAAAAAGTAAGCTATATTCAAATTAAACGTATATGGTTTGACTATCAATGGAGAAAAAAATATCTGATCAATGATAGAAGTTAAACATTCTGCAGGCTTCTTCAAAGATTAAATCTCTACAGAAATTAGTATTTTCTCTCCAGCATTTTTTTCTGAAACAAGTATAAATATATCGGCATAGACAGGTCCTCCTGTTACTTCTACTAATTACTCCCATCATAGCAAAGCCACATAGGCCTACCTAGCTTTGTATCTATTTAGGTAAGTGTATATTTTTTTTTCATATTCATCTCACCAATGCTCTAAGTATGACCGATAAATGTAGAATCTAATAATTAGCACTCCCATTCATCCAAAAATGATCCAATTTGTATTTCATCTAGTAATTCAGACAGCTCTTTGTATTCCTGTAACAGACTACAAATCGTCATACACTTCTGTACTTATGAAGATGGAAAAAAAAGTCCTGAAAGAAGAAAAGTGTGTGACTCACATTTTTGTTCACAATAGGAATCTGCCTATCTCTAGAGTAGTAGATGATAGAGTTGAGGTTTTGTGTGGCGGATGAGAGGAAGGCGCGATAGGTTCCCCTCAGTCCGCTGCGGCGAGCCTGTCTGTGACACTCGTAGTCGGCTCCACGGATACCACGCATAGATCCTGCCAGTGGTTTGTCCAGGGCAACAAGGTGGAGCTGCGGAGGGGACACAGGGAGAGAGAGAGAGAGAGAGAGAGAGAGAGAGAGAGAGAGAGATAGACGTGAATGAATGAAAACATAGGAGATGTGTTGGTTTATACATAGGAGTATCAGCATATAGGATAAGATAAGATAAGAAAAGATGAGAGGAGATAAGATAAGATACATAAGATGAAATAAGATAACATTTTTTTTATATCCATATAAAGAAATTTGCTCCAGTGACGTAAGTCCATAGGCCTACACACGACCATCAACACGCCCTCTCTCTCTCTCCATCCCTCTCTCTCTCTCTCTCTCCTTCTCTCTCTCTCTTTCTCTCTCTCTCACACACACACACACACACATGCACACACATACACACACTTCATATACAGATTACCACACATGAATAGTCACTGGATGGATGTACAAAATGTTGATATTCTCGCACAACATACAATTGCTGAATAAGTATTGTATTTATAGAAGGTACATTCATTGTCTAATAGGCTTAATGTCTTAATACAATTTTCAAAACAAGGCCTCATGTAAAACTGAACATAAAACAAAACATAAATAATCTAGTTCTTTACTATATAACTTCACGTCTTTTTGTACGAAAAAAAAATACTTGGAACATAGAGAAAAACAGCTGAGAACGAGTGTTACCATGCGACCGGTAGCATAACTTGGTGGAGGGATGATGTTGATTGGCGGTGCCTCTGTGGTCTGCAGATTAAAAATAAAAAGAAATTGCTCAGTCTCCATCACAAGATGGGAAACAAACAATAAATTTACACTTGAGCTGACAAAGATTATAGATGGAGCTTTCTGTGACTGAAACTGAGAAAAAAAGAACTTAAAAATTGTATTTATTTACTTTTTTTTTTCGAGATGCGTTAGGACTGCAGGATGCAGCACTCTTCCACACAATCTACAAGATGCACAGCTAGATTCACAAGACTTTACCATTTCTCATCAAAAGTATCACACGCAGAAGAGTAGCTAATTCTGTGTTATGAAAAGGAAATTAAATGAGCAGTTTAATATTACAGCAAAATTTTATTGAAATTCTTCCTGAGAAAATGAAAGAATAAGAAACAAAGGAAAAGAAAACTATTATTATTGATTTCATGAGAACATTCACATAGTTTTGATTGAATTAGGCTCACAATTCAAATGATTGCCTCTGATGTATGTCTGATCAATAAATTATTCACTTTTTTCTTCTTTGACTCCAGATGAATATCAACAAGACTGACATATAGGTCTGACTCAACCCAGTGCTTATTGTCTGATGTTGCTTTATGGCAAAAAGTTAATGGAAACTTCTCTGAGAAAAATAACCATACTAGACCCCCCAACATGATCAAAATGAAGAATCTTTTGAAAGATGACATAAGTTAAGGAGTACAATCCTTGAAACCTGCTGATTAATAACCTTGAAACAGATAAAACACTGTCAACTTCCCAGAACAGTTATTGGCACACTTATTAGAATCTTTCTTAACAGAGGGACTGTATTCACCAAAATACAAAGTTTTGAAAAAAAACCAAAATCGAGTGAACAGAATATAATACTATAAACCAGTGTGAAAAGACACACCAATGACCAAAAAAAAGAGGAAAAAAAATGTTGTTAGACTAAGCTACTGCACAAACAAATAAAAACAAATCAACATCCAGACAAGAAATCATCTGCCTAGAAACTCAATTCTACTGAAAAGGAAAACGAAGGGGGATTAGAAAGCAGTTGGATGAGTTAATGGTGATCATCAAACTCACCAGAGCAGATCGAGTGAGAGGGGGGCAGAGAAATGGGAAAACTAGAAGAGCGAATGCTCAAGCTAGAAGAAGGCAAACGGGGGGCTGGGGAAATCTACAACGATAACATTGTTCCCACACAACGAGTTTTGGACTCGTCTACAAAAAGGCCAACATGAAGCGAGCTGACAGTGCAGGTGCAGACTACTCGCTAATAATAATGCGTTAATTAATTCATTTCCTACGTGCAGGTGCGCAGTGCGAGCTGACATAAAACTGGGACAACAAAAATCATACAATTAAGAAACTGGGATGTAAAGGAAGCAAATACATTTGCTCGCTTGGTCTTCTTGGGCAAAAAAAATGCTTACAAATACAACAGCAAAAAAAAACCAAAACAAACAAAAACAACAACAAAACCACCCCCCCCCAAAAAAAAATTTAAAAATTAGGGACCCCCCCCAACAAAAATACCCCCCCCCCCCCCCAAAAGGGCTCTACCCCAAAATATAGTTTTGACAACTGTACAAATTCGGCAAACATTCTGCAAGCATAATGGCATTCCTGTTGGAAGAGTATTATTTTCTGAATAAGCTCACTGATATGATATGCTAGCTATACACCACGCCCCTTTGAGAGCATAACACGCATTCCAAGCCTGCAGGAGCAACATTTTCTCATACATCCAAACTGTTGTAAAAACCGCACAATATTACTATGATGTTACTATGGCCTGTTTGTAAATAAAGCATCTTCTTCACTCAGCGGATTAATGATACGCGCATTCATCTGCAGCTGCATTCCTCAAGAAACAAACTGTTAGTCTGAACAATTATTGCTTTAAAAAGTCTGAAAATAAATAGGCCCTCCCCTACGCCATTTCAATACATGTATGGGCCAACGACCATGACCGTTTAAGCCAAAGGCTCTGTTAAAAAGTGCAGAAAATCTTTACACACTTGTGACAACATTATTATTTTATTAACTATTATAAGATTTCCAGGAATCAGAAGTGTTTTAAAAAGTTAAAGGACAAACAACCCCATTTAGTTTATTTAAGTTTTGCTTTGCCTCTTCACCTTGTTAATCAAGTAGAATTTTTTGGTTTTGCCTGCTCATAGTTTTCATACCTCACGTCTTTGCTAGTATAGGGGAACAAAAGAACACTTCTCTTCTTGCTGATTTTTTTCGGGGTACTTTAAAACGCAATTTAATTTAAGGGCTTCCGTTCATGATTCCAAAGAAAAATCCACGAGAACCGTAGGCATAAGAAATACAGCATATGACCAACAAGCTGAGGCCAATAATGGGGAAGATGAAAAAAAAAAGACTTTCTTGGGGTTAAGTTAGGAATCGTTTATGTGGGGGATTGAGGACGTGAGGGAGTGAGGGTGACGGTGTGACGGTGTGAGGGTGAGAGCCAGAGAAACATAAAGCATGCACATGAAGGCAACAGATCCAGGAACCCTTGCAGCATCACTTACACTCACAACAACCTCTGGCTCAGACTGAAACAAGGAAAGAGCTCATGAGCCACAGAATACACGTTGGGTCTATCATGTACAGGTGAAACAGTCTATACGTATGCGAGTGTCGCACGGTACATTGTGTACATTGTATGCAACTGGCAGACTGGCAAGGCTATTGCACAGTGCGTAGGTGCACACAAACCAGTTATGAGAGGAGGGTAATGATCCCAGGTAATCAAATCACAATATGAAATTTAAAAAAAAAAAAGAAAAGAAAAATAATTTAAACAAAGAAGGGAAAAGGGAATTTGAAAAAAAAAAAAAAGGAAAAAAAAATTTAAACAAAGAAGGGAAAAGGGAATTTGAAATAAAAAAAAAGAAAAGAAAAATAATTTAAACAAAGAAGGGAAAAGGGAATTTGAAAAAAAAAAAAAAGGAAAAAAAATTTAAACAAAGAAGGGAAAAGGGAATTTGAAATAAAAAAAAAGAAAAGAAAGTTGGAAGACAGAGGGGGAAATGCTGACAACAAAACAAAACAAAGGTCTGAAAAAAAAAAGAACACGACATGTCATAAGAAGGGGGAAATGATAGTGATGGTCATAAATGATTTCATGCCGAGGAGTATGATACGAAATAAATAAATAAATAATGTATAGATGTAGAACGTTGAGGCCACATGGCAGATAGGATGGGAAATGTGAGCGGAATGACGCAGGAGAGTTGCCATGAGTACATCAGTCAGGGTTAGTGTCGGAGAGTGAAGTCAGAGGAGAAGGAACGGAAACCTGTGGCAGCGGTGACCAGAGGGCAGTATTCGAGGAGTCCAGGAACTATACACATCATTGGGGTTAGTACATGATACCGTGGCGCGAATGAAGAAACTTCTCAGGTTGCCTTTGTTTTTTGTTTTTGTTTCTTAAAATTTTGAGTCATCCGTCCATAAAACAACAATAACAACAATAATAATAATAATAATAATAATAATAATAATAATAATAAAAACCAACAGCCCCAAAACAACAACAGAATAATCTGCTGTTACAACTGAGTAGATATTTATTTTCCCAACAAACACAGAGAAACACACACTGGCCCACATTAAAACAACTATTCACCTCTTTTAATTCTTGTAAAAACGAGTTCCTGTTCCTCATTCTACATATTTACAGCGACTCGACAAATTTGAAGCACGAGGAGGACAAAATAAAAAAAAACACGTGCTGTTGGTGAGCAACTTAAACAAGAGTCCAAAGACTCCAAGATTCAATGCCCATGATCGCAGTCATTTTCAAAGACCACTTCAACCAACGAGGCCATTTGCAACAGCCACTCACACATCCCAGAGCAAAACTCACTCACAAGACACAAAAACTACCGTATTAGACATACCATTAAAAAAATTATGATAAAAGGTTACCCCAAATCAGTAGATTTTGTTCAAAGCAGAAGCGCTTACAAGCTCAGCTGCTAGCGAAAAGAGTAAAGTTGAAGGCTGAAAACTCTCCACACCATTCCTTGCAAACTGCATGCTGCTATCACTATCACACACAAAAACAGGTTTAAGCAAAAGCCCCACAGAGAAGAGACAGCCCCGACCTGTTTCCTCCTTGCAAAATCGGTACATTTTAACCACCACCCCCCCCCCCCACCTGCCAAACAAACAGCAAAACAAATAACCCAGCGTGAATGTAACTGGGCATATAATATCATACCACGATGTTGAGACTGAGATCATGGCAATATAGTGAGCCCGACAAAGGCCATACTATCTCCGAAAACACGAAACCTCGTTGACCTTCAGAATGTCCTGAACAAGACCCTAGAATGTATAATAATAATATTATACTTGGGCACACAGTAAAATTAATAGGTTCTACGAGTTCGCATTCAGCCGTGGAACACAACAGTTGGACATTTTTCACAGAGGACATACAAATAACGTTCTAAAAATGGAATAGCTGATCATCTTACATCCAATGTTGACCACAAAAATAAATACACATACTGATAATGACAAAAGGGAAGAACCCCCTCCCGCATCTTTCAAATAAGCCTCATCGTAAAGAGATCTATTTTCAAGTCCTCGTTTTTTTTCTCTTCCTTAAAAAAACCACCAAGCAAATGAAAACACGAAAGCAAGCAATGTTTTCCTCCAGGAATCTGACAAGCTAAACCCTTCCCTTCTGACCACCCGTCACTTCCAGCAAAGCTGACACAACAGTAAGTATTTCATAGCAAAGGCGTCTTGCTTCAGGCATAACCAGCTAAAAAAACCCAACTAAAAAACCCCATAAGCCTGAGCTTAGCCCGCCCTTCCGAAAAAGCTGAACATTCGAGCTTGACGTCCTTACGGCAAAGCGATATAAGCAAACATAAGCCCATGAAAAAGTATTTGTCAAAATCAGTTAGACAAAAATCAAGGAAATAACCCCCCCCCCCCCAGTCATATGGCTTTTGTTAAGGTCCCTAAGGTTAAAGTTGAAGATTTTGATTTGTTTTGACCTCCTCTTTATATCTTTCACCCTATTCTTTATGAAATGTATCTGCTAAAAAAACTCGAGACTAAAATAAAAACTCCATCACACTGGAAAAAAGCATAATGAAATACGACACATCATTAGATACAATACTAGTCTACCTACTATAAACTACTCTGGTGCACAGCCTAGCTACTAAGAATAAATGACTTGTTATTTCCGAGAGCTGTGCTCTACTAATTAATGGATCATTAATGAGTGGAAGTGAAACATATATCTACATGAAGCGTTGCGCTCAGAGGCAAAGCCCGAGACCCCAGCAAGGGCAAGAAGACCCACAGAAAGAAGTGCCTTGGTGTTAAAACAGCTATTGAATTGCTGCAGAGGAGGGCTTCTCGCCAATCAAGCATAGTAAGGTATTGTACTTGGACCAAGGGAGAAAGAACACACACTACAGCGTGTCTGAGAGAAATCAGGATTTACCCGCAGGACTTCAAAGGCTACATTGACGGGGGTCTCCTTCTTCTCGTCCTCCTCCTTCTCCTCGTCCCTGTTGTCCAGCACGTTGACGGTAACCACGCCCGGCTTCCGGCGTCGGTTGTACCGGTCTCGGCGCCGGTTGAGTCGTTCCTCCCGGTCGAGTCGAGCCCGACGCCGGAGCTCTTCCTCCAGACGGGCTCGGTCTCGGTGCTGACGGACGTTGCTCGGAGGCTCGTTTGTCCCGCCATTGCCTTGCTCGCGCTGTCTCTGTCTTCGCTCGCGTTCCTCCTGCCGTCTTCTCTCCATCTCCAGTCTTTGCTGCTTCCTCTCCTCCACCTGCCGCTTCCTTTCCTCCACCAATCTCTGGCGTTCTCTCTCTATCTTCTCTCTTTCTTGATTCCTCTTTTCTTCCAACTCCTCTCTGCGCTTCTTCTCTTCCTCCAGTCTCTGTCTTTCTCTCTCTTCCTCGTTTCGTCTTTCGCGTTCTTCTTGCTGTTTTCGCTCCTCCTCAATTCTTTGTTTTCTCTCTTCCTCAATTCTTTGTCTTTTCTGGTCTTTCTCGGCTTTCCTCCGAGCATCCAGCCTCTTTCTCCTCTTTTCTTCTCGTTGCCTCTCTCTCTCTAGCCTAGATCTCTCGCCATTCCTTCTTGTTTCGACCTTCTCTCTCTCCCGCGCTAACCTGGCCAGTTCCGCTTCCATGATCTTCCTCTGTCGTTCTTGTTCTTCTCTATGCCTCTTCCTCTCTTCCAGCTGGCGCAGATACATGTTCTTCTCCTCCTCGTCTCTGTCAACCGCCGAGGTACTGTTCACAGGCCCGTTGTTGGAAAGATCCCAGTGGAGCGTCACAGTATCAATAATGACATCGCCATCTTCGCCAGTGAACGCCTCATTGGTACTCTAAGCATGCACATGGCCGGTCACGTGAGGTGAGATTAGTCAGGGAAACAATGCATTCAGTAAAACAACATTGTGTGAGGGGGTGGAGATGGAGGTGGTGGTGGGTGTAAGGGTGGGGGAGGGGGTGATGGTGGTTATGGTGGTGGGTGGAAGGGTGGAAGGGATGGTGGTGATGGTCGTTATGGTGGTGGGTGGAAGGGTGTAGAGGATGTTGGTGGTGTTGGGTAGGTCGAAGGGTGGAGGGGATGGTGGTGATGGTCATGTTTGTTGGTAGAGGTAGTGATGGTTGTACTGAGCGATGGGGGTGTCACGGAGATGGTGATGTGCGGGGGGGGGGGGGGACATGGAGGTGGTGACGATGGTGGTGGGTCGATGG